AGCACAGAGACCGCTTCTGTGAAGGTAACAAATGACATCAGACTTAACCACTGAGCAGAAAAGTCTCAGTTCTTATACTGTTAGATTGAGTGTGCTTTCGACACTGTCGATCATGGATCCTCATCCGAGACTTGGGACTGGCTTGGTGTTTTGGAACAGCCCTAAGCTGGTGTATATCCTACCTAAGGACAGAAAGTATTTTGTGGAGTCGGAAACTGTGTCTCCGACCATGCCCTGACCTGCGGAGTGCACCAGGCATCATCCTGGGGCCTCTCCTGTCTTAATATTTACATGCTGACCTCATGGGTAGGTTAATACACTGTAATAAAGGTGTCCTATACAATTACGCTGACGATACTCGGTCTTTGTGTCCCCTGACAGCAGGCGAACATGACAGGGATCTCGCTCCTTACTTTATCACCAGTCAGGATTGGCTGCAAATAACTTTCTCCCGTAAACACAGAAAAAACTGAAATGATTGTTTCGGACCTCAGAAAACAAAGAAGAGAGCGTTATCTGCCACCTCCAGTCTCTCTACTGAAAACCCTCAACTCAGGTCAGAAATCTAGGAGTTTTAATGGACTCAGATCTTGAATTTCATAGCCCATATCATCTGTGCCATCATCTAGCTTACTTCCACCTAAGAAACATTGCTAAAATTAAAAACATTGTGTCTAAGCAGACTTGGAGATTCTTATCACGCATTTGTCTCCATTCGATTGGAATACAGCAATGGCTTGGTCACAGGTCTCTTCTAAAACAAGCGGTAAAACAGCTGCGAGACATCAAAAATGCTGCAGCTCGAGTCCTGACTAGCACCAGGAAGTACGACCACATAGTCCGGTTCCTCAGGTCCTCTGCACTGGCTTCCTGGTGGCTCAGAGAAATTAGATTTTAAAGTTGGGGGGGCTTTCTTGTGCTACAAGCTCTCCATGGCTCGCACCAGGTTTCATCCGCGATCATGTTGGTGCCATATGAACCAATCGGGCTCTGGAGGAAGCACAGGGACTGGACTTCTGTTAGTGCCAAGAGTCGGAACTAGACATGGGGAGGCCTGCGTTTCACAGATTCAATGCAGCTAGAGTCTGGAACCGTTTCCCGAGAGTGTGAGACAGGCGTCTACCTAGCAGTTTTTTAAAACTGAACTGAAAACAGTTCTTTTTAGCTGTGAAACAAGTGAATGATTTTACATTTGTTTTTATCTTTAATCATTTTAATGCCTTTTATATTTATTATATATTTTTTTTTTTTTTTTTTTTCCCCTTTTCTTCCGCTGATGATTATTTATGATTATTTATGATAGTAATACCTTGCCCCCCCCCCCCCCCCCCACTGTGACTTTTAAATTTTTTACGGTTTGTAAATAACGAGTGTAATTTTATATATCTTGAGCTTCTTAATCTTTCTTTTTATGTTTACTTAAAATTCTAATTGTTTGATGATTTATGCATGATGGGATATATGGGTTGTGAGGCGCTTTGCGTGCCTTGGGTAGGAAAGGGCTCGATAAAATAAACGGTGATTGATTGATTAGGGCCTGTCCTACTTTATGGTGGCAGTGCAGTGTTCAAACACCAGGGGCCTGTGGGCAATTGTGGTCCGCCAGGACATTGATTCTCTTCTGATATGATTCTCCATTATAATTAAGTTTTACATGGCAGTTCTTATTTGCAAGGTTATTATTGAACCCCAAAGGCATTGATCCTTATTTTTTAAAAAAAGACTCCTCTGGAAAATTACCATAAACCTTCTAATGCTGTTGGAAAAACCCACCTGAATTGTTAACTAAACAAACTTTGTTAAATCTATTAACTATTCTAAATACCGTTATAATGTTAAAGAAAAATGGTGTATCCATAAGAAGGGGAAGATTAACTTTTTCGTGCGGCCTGGTGTTTGTTTAGTCTGTCAGACCTCGGCTCCTTATCACCATCAAGAGTCACAGGTTACAGAGCTTTGACAAACTTGAATAATATCATAATACTCAATGGCTATACTTTAACTTGTAATTTTAAACAAAAAAAATATTAACAAAGTTAAGTTTAAAATAAATAAAACTACACAAACACCTGGTGTATGTGGGGTCATCTACCATTACAACTAATAAACTATAAAAATGGTAATTTTATTTTCCCAAACATATGCGTTTAAATACTGTTTACGTGAGGTAAATAACATATATATGTGTGCTACTGTATGTGTAGGTAAACATACACAAAATGAATGTAACGAGTGGTTGTGTTCATATGTTCTTGGGTAGGAAACAGACTATATATATGTTGGTTTTATAGTGTACTGTAGTATCATCCAGCTGTTAAAGGGACTTACCAGTTCCATATTCTTGACCTAGAGAGTGTCCAGTTTATTTTACAGATGTGTAAAACAAGTATACATTTATTTACACTAGAGTACACAATACTTTACCGTGTACTTTACGAGCCAATATTTTAAATTTAAAAGTAATAGAGTTGTGCTACACTTACTATTCACCTGTCTTGTGTTGTAATGCAACCATGAACTGTCCCCACTGTGGGAGTCTGAAAATCACTTAATCGTATCATTACTGACTCGTTGCCTAAAATGAAAAACTGACTAAAAACGAGTGCAGTCAAAATCACATAATGCAGCAAAAAAATAACAAAACCATAAACTGGGGGTCTCTCTTGGCCCTTGTGACCTAGTTGAAGGAAAAATATAAAACCTTAGTATTTACAAAATATACATTTGCAAGTCTATCACTACAAAAAATAGTACTTGGCTTTAAACATTTTTGGAATCTCATGAGGAAAATAGGATAAACGATTTGGACCTATATTGTCTGGTTTATTTTGTTTATTGCAAAAGATGGCTTTGTTTAGGCCTCCTGAAATGTTTCGATTACTCCAGCCTCGCCAGAGTTATTTAACATGCCTCACCCCTTTCAGAGCAGTCGTCTCTGCGTTCTGGCACTGTCTCTCTGTGTCGTTGATGTCGAACTCTCCACCGCTCTCTATATTTTTGGCTGAAAATGTCTTTTCAAGCTGTTTTATGCACAATCACACATTTCCACTTCTGTTTCCAAACTACAAGCCCCTCCCCACTCTGCGGCTCTAGGCTTAACGAAACATTGTGTAATGTTGTGTGTGTGCTGTGGGTCATTATTGTCCTTATCTCTTTCCTACGTTTCTCTCTCTCGCTTCTCAGACCAGTTACATTCACACCAAACTCTGTTTTCTACATCACTAATCGAGCAAATGCTATTTCCAAAGTTATGAAATCTCAGGGCTCTGACTAAAACATTCATTTACTAAATTGATTGTGGGATTTGGTGCAATTTACATTCAAAATACATTATAGACCAGACTTCTGTCAGAATACTCATTATACTCAGGGGATTTTTACCATCTTATTTCTTATTTATCACCACCAGACCAAGATTTAGCGTCTCAGGCTGTGGAAAACAACTGGGCAATGAAAACACTGAAAACTCTGTTTAACTCACAAACCTTCGGATTATTCAGAACTTTAAAATGGTTTTATGAAAATTCCTTTGTCATGTTTCGCCTCTAAGAAAAAGATGTGTCTTCACCCATTCGGGGACGTTATGTTAATAATAAAGTTCTTAATCAAGGAGTATGTGGCCACGGAATTGATTAAGTAACCTATCCCCACTCTATTTTTCTTATGCCGTGCTTTGCACTGATCATAGCCACAGCTCATACAAATCACACACTGCTTCTTCTATTTAAAACTATAGCTCTGCCTGTTGCCTAAAGCCGCGGAGAGGCGAGTTGGCTCCGATAAAAGTGTATCATGCGCTAAATAAGTAGAAAACAAACGAAGAGGCTGGATCATAATAAAACGCTGCAGTCACAGACCCAAACACACATGCACGCACACGCCTCCCACCACACACACACACACACACACACACGGGCGCTCTCACGCACACGCTCACGCACACATGCACGCCGACAATACATAACTCCTCCATCAGCCAAACATTCATTCATTCACACAATGCCCAAACATGTCTCCTACAAAAACAAAGCAGGCTGATAAACGCACAGCCAGAGCTGCGCGCTGCTGCAGCCGGTTTGACCACTAGTCCGTTTTACGGACGGCTGACGGACAGCAGCCAACGCGCGTCAACGGAGACGCGCCCGGTGGAGTCCAGGCCTCACTTGGAGACACTGCTAAAGTTATTTTCACAGCTCCGTAAAGTTTTCTCGAAGGACCCCACATAGCCGCCCTCGCGCCTGCCTGTTTACAAATCGCTTTTGGTGAAAATTTGACACATAATTGTAATAATATACTTTTGTAAAAAAAAAAAAACACGGAGGTCCAGAGAAAAGGGTCTTGGGGTCCGGACCTGGACCGCGGTCCGCCATTTGGTGACCCCTGCTCTAAAGGCAGAGAAGAAAAATGTACAGTTGAAGCTCTCAACAATGTCTTCTAGGGATACCTTAGTTCAAAGTCAGAAGTTGTCTGGACTACAAGTTAGAGGTTTCTATTCGTCAAAGAGAATTCCTCTTCCCGTCACATACACAAGAGAGTTCAACCCTGCCAATTTAAGTCACATTCCCACACCTAAGACAGCGAGAACATGGTCTCACCTAGAGCACCTGGCTGAAGAGATCGCCCCATTGATTGAATGCGATGTGGGTCTGCTTATCGGTTACAATTGCTCACAAGCGCTGGTACCAAGAGAAGTTGTATCAGGAAAAGACAATGAACCCTTCGCCCAAAGAACAGATCTTGGATGGACAATAGTCGGAGGTACTAATCCATGCACGGACTATGGTGATGCAATTGGATGCAGCCACAAGATCATTGTCAAGGAAGTGACACCTCATGAAACATCACAGCAGCTGTTAAAAGAAGTGAATTTCATCTGTCGCACACAAGTGAAAGAAGTGGTCACACCAAAAGACGTGATTAAAGATCTTGAGTCTGACTTCAACGAAAGAAAAGTTGAAGATTCGCACTTCTCTCAAGAAGACTTGCGGTTTATCTCCATAATGGAAGGAGTGAAAATGCAAGAAGATGGGCACTGTGAGCTACTTTTGCCGTTTAAAGAAGATAGGCCAAGTCTCCCGAACAATCGGAGCTGTGCACAACACAGACTCAAGTGTCTAAAGAAAAGATTTGAGAAGGACAAACAATATCACAAAGACTACATCATGTTTATGAAAGAGACAACAGAACGTGGTGATGATGTAACAGTCCCATCCGAAGACCTTGTTACTTCTAATTGGTTTAAAAAGGTCCACGTTTCCTCTGTCAAGAAAAACTTCCCATTGGAGAGATCAAGGTGGGAGAAATTTACACAGATGATCCAGAAATACGGAAAGCTGTAGTAAATCAAACAGAAAGCAAACCAGACTCGCTAAGAGAACGTTTTCGGAAGTTTTCTAATTGGTCAGGACAAGTCAAAGCTATTGCAAGACTCATCAAATTCATGAGAGAGTGTAAAGGCTCGCAAAAGCAAACTAACAAAGCCACAAGTCGGGAAGAAAGACAAGAAGCTGAGCTCACAATTGTAGCTATCATTCAAAGATCAGTCTTCACTAAAGAAATCAAAGAGTTGGACCTACAACATCGAAAATGGCACAAGAAGAAAATAAATGCAAAAGTTGATGTTGACGTTGTAATCATACAAGATGACACAGCACCAAGAAATGATTGGAAGCTGGCGAAGATCACCGCTGTGTATCCGAGTCAAGATGGATGTGTGCGCAAAGTGCAACTGTTAATCAGTGACTCGACTTTAGATGACTATGGAAAGAGACTTAACAAACCTGTTCACTTGGACAGACCAATCCACAAGACTGTGACATTACTAGAAGCAGATTAAATAGTTTACATTTCATAAGTTCAGTTTCGGAAATCACAAGTGATTTGGTGGGAGTGTAGCTGCAGAGGCAACTCTCATTTATTTTATTTAATGTTTCAATAATTTTACTTAAGAGTTACAAATATTATAAATAGTTAAAAGTGCTATTTAGAGTTATTTCATATTTTTTGCTGATTTTTTGCACACTGGGAACCTTTTGTTTGTGGAACTATGTTTTGGGGAATGGTTATCTGGACACACCCTTTTTGTTGTTGTATTAATTTTCCTCACAAGCCACGAGGTGCTTCGCTCAGTCCACGCACGGAAGATGACGGGTATCAGGAAAGAAATCCTTTGAAAGTCCTTTTTTGTGTTTTATTTCCCTGTTGAGTAAAGCGGCCAATGAGGTATGTCTTGGTCTCCATTGCTCTGTGTTATGTGTTATATGTGGAAGTGCCGTCTTTAAGCGTTAATGTACATTTTTTATGTTCCTTTCAGTTCTGACGGCATTCTCATCATGTTGGCATTTCTCCTCTGGACAAATAAATGTCTGTTTAAAACTTAAGAACGATTTTGAGCCTATAAGTGTTACTATAACACTTATAATTAACAACTCATTTGATATGTTTCAGTCCGGCTTTAGACCCCACCACAGCACTGAGACTGCTCTCGTCAAGGTTACAAACGATATCCGGCTTAACACTGACGCAGGCAAAGTCTCAATCCTAATCCTGTTACAGTAGATCTGAGTGCTGCCTTTGACACTGTCGACCATGAAATCCTCTTACAGAGACTAGAGGACTGGGTTGGCGTCGCTGGCACCGCCCTAAGTTGGTTTAGGTCTTACCTTGAAGACAGGAAGTACTTTGTGGAGATTGGAAACCGTGTCTCAGATCATATGGCCCTGACCTGTGGAGTACCACAGGGGTCGATCCTGGGACCTCTTCTGTTCAATCTCTACATGCTGCCGTTAGGACACTTTGTTTATGCGTATTAACTGACCTATCACAACTATGCAGACGACACTCAGATCTATGTCTCACTGACTGCAGGAGAACATGGACCAGTGGACTCACTGTATCCAACAGATCAGTGAGTTGATGCAAAACAACTTCCTTCAGCTAAACGCAGACAAAACTGAAATGATTGTCTTTGGTCCCCAGAAACAAAGAGAGAGCGTCATCTGTCATCTACAGTCTCTCTCCCTAAAACCTTCAAACAAGGCCAGAAATCTAGGGGTTATACTGGACTCAGACTTAAATTTTAATAGCCACATCAAATCAGTAACATCAGCAGCTTTTTACCATCTAAAAAACATTGCCAGGATCAAAAACATAGTGTCTAAAGCAGACTTGGAGATTATTATCCATGCATTTGTCTCCAGTAGGTTAGACTACTGCAATGGCCTGCTCACAGGTAGTACAACCATATTAGTCCGGTCCTCAGGTCTCTGCACTGGCTTCCTGTGGCTCAGAGAATAGACTTTAAAACAGCTCTGCTTGTGTACAAGTCTCTCCATGGCCTCGCACCAAAATATATTAGTGACATGTTAGTCCCATATGAACCAGCCCGGACTCTGAGGAGCACAGGGACTGGACTCCTGTTAGTGCCCAGAGTCAGAACTAAACATGGGGAGGCTGCTTTTCAGATTCATGCTGCTAAAATCTGGAACAATCTTCCTGAAGATGTGAGACAGGCCTCCTATCTGACAATGTTTAAAACCAGATTAAAAACGGTGCTGTTTAGCTGTGCATACAACTGAGGGATATTATGTTTTTATCTTTCTTTTTAATGTTCTGTGATTATTTATGATTTTAATGCTATCTTGTTCAGCACCTTGTGTATGAATTGTGCTATACAAATAAACTTGCCTTGCCTTGCCTTACCATACCATATCTTGTAAGAAATCTCATGAGAAATTGTTATCTTTTGCGTCAGAAAGACCCCTGTGAGTCACTATTTGACTCTTTGAGCGGAGAGCTGATTGGCTGAGTGAGGGTGGTCCTCCCTTTATAACTTTTCTGTCTGAAAAAGCTGATCTAACCATGTGAGAAAAGCTACATTTACATGATGTGAAAACAAGTAATAGAAGCAAAGTGTTTTAGATCCAAGATAAAGAGACATGGGTTTCATGCAGAGTTTTATGTGTATTTCAGCTTTAAATCCAAGAGCTCTGGCTGTGAATGTTATTTTTCACAAAGCAAACTGGGCAAAAAGAAAAACACAGAACGGGTTTTGCTTGTGTAAAAATATGCGTGTGTAGCAGCGCCTGCAGTAGTTCAGCCATAGACCATTGATAATGTTTTGTAGCCTCTGTCCCAGGGGGAAGCCACTGTCCTCGGGGGAGCCTCTGTCACTCTGTAGACCCGTTTGTTTATGTGGAACTACTTTCGTCTACAGCCGAGCAGCCGCAGCACTCATCGAACTCCACAAATTAACAACTTATTATTTAAAAACAAGGCAAAATGTACCGTGTGGTTCGTTGAAAGTCTCTCCGGAGCCCGGACTGCCCAGTCGTCTGCCTGTTTCCCCCGAACAACCACTATTTAACGTATGTTTTGGATCTATTTTCTTGGGGAGGCCGAGTTGCGTCTTTCTCTCTCTCTTCCATGCTAGGCCGCCATCTTGAATTTTAATGTTAATTTCCGAAAAAAAATGTGTTTCCTCTGATATTTTTGTAAAAGCTAGCGTGCCAATGCTGGGATATCTTTGAGATACTACGTTTCGCTATTCTTTTACCTTCACAAAAGCACTTGTAAGTATCAGATCTGTCGCTGTGGTTTGTTTTGACGACCCGAGGCATTTAACGCGTAAAAAAGCTGCTATCTTGGATATCTGGCTTACAGTGCTAATATTGAAGTGTTTCCATAGATATCCGGTCGCCTGTTAATCTGTTAAAGGCTTGAGGCGTGGCTCTGTGAGTTTGTAGCTCCAGAAAAACGTTTGATGTGCTTAAAAACAGATTTTCCATTGCTTTTAGGCTTCAGAAGCCGAGCTAACGTTTGCTTTAGCTTAGCATAAGGCTCAGGGCTCTGCAGGTACGTTGACGGTCACATAACTTCTATTAAATACTGGAGCGATGGTTTGAGCTGGGTGAGTGTGACTACATCATACTATGGCTTCTCAGAAACCTAACTGAAGTCCCCAGAGGCATTGGAAAAGCTAAATGTGGCGAATCGGCTCCACTGAGTCAAGCTAAGTTAGCATTAACAGTTAGCTCTTAACCACTGAAGTTCAGTTTGATGCTATCAAGACGTAGAAACACAGTCACTACAATGGCACGGTTCCTTGTATCACTGGTTGTGTCGAGATGTGAGTGGGCACATATGCTTAAACAATCGGTCATCTTCGGCTCAACAACGTTATTGGATTATTGCAGAGAGTGTGGTGTTATTGATATCCGCAGCACGTCATTTAAATATGGAGTTTAACACAACGGCCACACCTCGGGCGCACGTGTGTATGTCCCTTGGCTTTTATTTGCATATTTACTGATCGTGCGGGTGATTGAGCCTTCACCCCGGAGCAGGTGTATGCTAATCCCGCAAACCGAGCTCTGTCCCTGTAGCTGAAGGTGGAGACGAGCCAGATCTGGACAAGAGCGGGACACTACCACACTGTGCTGTCAGCAGTCTGGACGCGCTGTCTTTGCATTTATTCAAATTACTGAAGACATAATTGTGTGTCCAACGAAGAGATACGGGAACAGTGGCTTTGCATTCTGTCGACTGTGGGAGTTAAACACAATAACAAGTTTGACAGTACAGAGATGTCTTCCGGATATCACTGTTAAGTCGAGAGTGGTCCACAACTGATGCTGCTCCTTGCAGCGTTCCAGTCAGTACTGATGGTCACCACTGAGTGGCATCTTAACACCAGGATTGTTTACTCTTTCCTTAACGTAATTACAATATTCATCAGCGTGAGCGCACTTTTGCTGATTGTGTTTGGTGGAAGAACTGACTGTGCATGCGACTTGTTTTATCCTAAAATGGATACATATTACTTAACTGTAGTTCAGGTGGTAATCAATCGCACTGAGGTGATGTGGGTCTCATCGACTGAAGACAATGATGTGGTCTGATTTAAGGTGGTAATCATACTTGGGTGATGTGATCTTTCTTTGTGGCTCTGTTTTAATTCTGTTTGATCCACTGTTGGAGACCTCCAGCCCTCAATGTTAGGGTTGTTCTGTTGTATTTGAATCATATTAACGAGACTGAAGGGACTGCAGTCATCGAGACGTCACTGACAAGGTGACTGTTGTTGAGATAGTTGAACGAGTAAGACACTGTTGTAGGGTAGTGTTCCTGAACAGCAGGCTGTTTAGTGGGGGCGGGTCCTGGTGTTTTGTCGAGTTGGTCTGCCCGTCGAGATGATCTGCCTGACTTCATGTCCTCCATCTTGGATTGCTTCGGCTGCCATGAGACGCGCATGCGCAGGTTTGCATTACATCATTAACAGCTGAGGCAGATCATCTCGACGGGCAGACCAACTCGACAGAACACCTGTTCAAAAGTGGTCAAAATGATGTGCGCTGACATGCTTGCAATACCACCCCGGGCCGATGGGGGTGTGTCACTCCCGTATTTGTCCCGGAAACCGGATTTTTCCCGGAAGTTCAGTTTGATCCAATGAGCATACGCAGCAGTAGATTACGTCACGGAATCTGGACGGAAGCGGAAGTAAATATAAAAAAACTACCTATTCATGCCTAAACTTAACCAGCCATTCCCGTAAAATAACCCCAACCCAGCCTTAACCCTGAACTTAACCATCTTACTTAGACACCTAAACTTAACCAGTCACCACTTAAGGACTTATTACACTTTTTGACACGCGCAAACTCAACTTCCGGACGAATCCGGTGTGACAGGTGGACCTGGAATAAGAATTAGCCAATGCTAACATATAGCATTGGCAGACCTCTTGAAAATGTCTTTACAGGATGGTCCAAAAGTTGGCTCTTGGCCCAAAGCTCCGTTCCACATGTCAATGCTGAGGGGGGTGAATTTTTTTGGTCCACTCTAGTTTACTTGCTGTGAATTTTTGAAGTCTCTCGTTCAAACGAATGGAGCTGCTCCGGCTGACGCATGCACAGATGCGTTTTTTCACAATTTTCTTGTGGGCGGGACCACTTGCGGCCATTTTGGATGGCCGCTCCAGTAGAGCACTATTTTTGGCCCATTAGCTAGAACGGCGGAGATAGGCGTGACTCTGTCCGTTAATATATACAGTCTATGGTTTTTACACAATTTTCTTGTGGGAGGGACCACTCGCGGCCATTTTGGATGGCCGCTCCAGTAGAGCACTATTTTTGGCCTATTAGTTAGAACGGCGGAGATGGGCGTGACTATGTCCATTAATATATACAGTCTATGGTTTCTGTGTGGAGTTTTCATGTTCTCCCCGTGTCTGTTTAGGTTTCCTCCTGGTTCTCCGTTTTTTTTATACCACTAAAACACCACTTATTTACAATAGCCTGAATGTGTGAGTGTTGATGATCAGCGTCTCCTCCTGTCAACACTTTGAGGAAAGAACACTCTGAAGGGCTGTGTGAGACCTTGGTCTGTGGAATGTGCTATATAAATAAAGATGACTTGCTTGTTGAACTAATATGCTATGTGATATAGAAAGGTAACATGGTAACGTAATGTCAGCTTCAGAGCTGTGAGACAAGACGCAGAAATGTGAGAAACTGGATCTGGGACGAGCTCTCTCCTCTGTACCCTGTGCTCTTTGTGGGCGGTCCTCTCATAGTTTTAAGAGCTTGTTTAAATAAAGTGAAGAAGCTATTGTCATCAAAGAATGTTTGTTATTGCTTTTCAGCCCTTATCTGAGTGGTTACTCGTTTTTAATGGTATTGAATGTAGTGTTTACTTAGTCCACTAGCTCAACATTTTATCCCATCTAAAGCTGGAGGACCATACTTTACTTTGGCATCATGAATACATGTTTGTCGAACAGAAATAGTCTTCTAGTAAAAAGCTACTGTCTTCATCTTTTGTGTTAGAAAGAGCCCTGTGTGTCACTCTTTGACTCTTTGGTCTGAAAGCTGATTGGTTGAGTGAGGGTGGTGCTCTCTTCGATCTGGAAAAAGTGTATCTAAATATGTGACAGAGGCCAATTATACATGATGTGAAAACTAGTGATAGAAGCAAACTGTTTTAGAGCTTCGATAGATTTTGTGACAGTTGTTTTGTGTGGTGACAGAGTTAAGGACCTCAGCTTTAAGGTTAATTAATGTTTGCTAGAGTCAGTAAAGTTAACGTTTACAATCCTCAAATGTCTTAACAGCTCATTCGTGAGACCTGTTTTATCTGATCAGTATGTGTTTGGTTCTGTGTCCTTAGCTCTCTGTTCTTGTGTCTCCAGATCTCTCTCACAAACCCCAGTCTTCCCCACCTCAGCGCTTTCCTCACCTCGGAGACTAAATGCACTGCGACCCGGAGGCTTGTGGGCATGAAGTGGCTGGGCGAATCCAAGAACATGGTCTTGAATGGCAGACGACATGGGACCAAGTTGAGCGATCCTCCTGCCAGCCGCTCCCAGTCCCAGAAGGGCTCCCTCCGTCACAGCAAGGCCCTGCAGCGGAGTCGCAGATGTAGCCGCAGTGAGTGCAGAACTCATCATATTAAAGTCATCACCAATATCTATTTCTCTGATGCAGAGATGTAGCCTGTTCTATTGAGTGTTACTCAGAAAAAAAAATTCAATTGTAAATATATCACGTGTAAAATTCAGTAGTTTTACATGCAGTCTGTTTAAAAAGTTTATTAAAATGTGATGCGATCTGGTAAAACCCATCACATGGTGAAATTTGACAAACTTAAGATTCTAATACCATCTTAAAGCTGCTTTCAATCTCTTTTCAAATCTGTTTTCCTTTTTTCATAGCATGTCTGTAACAAATGTTATCCTTTTCTGAAGTCAGCTTAATAACATGGTTTTATGAAACGGAATTTAGATAGTTTTAAAGATACTAATAGATAATTTGAATTACTCTGTTATGGCACACACTTATTTTAGTCACTATGTTGTAAAAGATAAAAAAATCTTACTTTTGCACCCAAGCAAACACACAACACTCATTAATTAGATAAAAATCAAGAATGTATTTATTCATTCAACAAATGAATTGAATTTGTTTTACTTAACTTTTCCTCTTCTTTATCAAATCACGCAGTATAAATATCCACGCACAACCAACATGTATTTTTAATGCAAACGGGAAAATTAGGCACCCGAGCTTTAATTTCGTGAGTTTTTGGTTGCCCATAGGTAGGAGACACGGGGGAGACCTGGACTTGCAACAAGCTGGGGATTGTCCTGAACGCGTGTCAATGGTTCTCTCCGCGTGTCTATGGTCCGCGTGTCTAAGTTTCTGTCCGTGTGTCTATGGTCCTGTCTATGGTCCTGTCTATGGTCCTGTCTATGGTCCTGTCTATGGTCCTGTCTATGGTCCTGTCTATGGTCCTGTCTATGGTCCTGTCTATGGTCCTGTCTATGGTCCTGTCTATGGTCCTGTCCGCGTGTCTATGGTCCGCGCTTGGAGCCACGTTACGGCAGTGCGTTCACTGAGCTGTTGCCAGAGCAGCTGTCACAAAGCGGCCGCAGCTGCTCCCGGGGTCAGAGCAGAGGATGTAACGTTCGGTTTATCAAAACATATCACCATTTTGAATGTATTAATCTATTGAATTTCACCTAGATATTTTCAGAAACTAAAGACAAGATGTTATATAATAATTATTTAATGAAAACATAATTTTGCCAAATAAATGACAATCGACCTATTTTTACTATTTACTCGAAAGGTGCCAGCGCGACATCCAACGGGTTTTCCCAGATCGCATCGCAAATGTTATAAATATTCAAGCTGACTTCCCCTACACTAGTGCAGCGAGAGTGAGAATCATAAAAGTGAGACCTTTAATCCTAGAATGAGCTGAACCAGTCTTTGATGTCCGAAAAACACACTTCCTTAAGCATGTTGTGTTGTTCAGGGTGTAGTGCAGCCAACCTCGAGTCGGAGCGGCGGTACATTCCGTCCTCAGGGATGACCGCCAAAGAACTGTGTGAGAACGATGACCTCACCACCAGCCTCATCCTCGACCCCTACCTGGGCTTCCAGACACACAAGATGAACACAAGGTACACACACTCAGACACACACACAGAGGGACGCGCACACAGAGAGAGACACGCGCACTCGCAGAGATGCACACACACGCACACACGCCAGCCTCAACCTGTATCGGGGTTTCCAGACACACAAGATGAGTACATACTTTGCTTCAATCTGCTCCAGAGGGAGCAGTACCTGCAGTCAGAGCTCCCTATAACTGCCTATACTTTTACCAGAGGGAGCTGCAAACCCGGTGTGATTGTAAAGGATGTCATTTCACCTGAGAACTGACCAAAACGAATTTATGGGAAAGACAGAAAAGAGCTCTGAGTATGATGTCATAGTGGTACAATTACTTCGTACTGTTACAAGGGCTTGTAGACAGGAGGTGGAGCTACATATTTGTGCCAGAAGTTCCTGATATTAGCATGGAAACACAGGTATGTGACTGAAGATGGACAATGTTGGGACATGGTTAAACCCTTTCATCAGTTTTGTCCCCACTGTTCCTGAATTTTGCTCTTGGATTTGCTCCTCAAGTTGAGGTGTTCCCCACTGCTATTGGTTTTTGGTATTGGATCTTTTCCTCAGGTTCAGGTTCTCCCCATTGCTCCTGATCTCTGCTTTGTGGATCTGCTCCTCAGGTTCCGGCCGGTGAAAGGGCGGCAAGAGGAGCTGAAGGAAATCATCGAGCGCTTCAAGAAACATGACAACATGGAGAAGGCCTTCAGAGCACTTACAACCGGAGACTGGGCCAGATCCTTGTTAGTCCACAAAACCAAGGCTCACGAGAAGCTCTTCAAACAACATGTTAGTGTGTGTGTGTGTGTGTCTGTGTGTCTTTGTCTCTCATTCACACTGCTCTCTCCTCAGGTATTTGTGTACTTGCGGATGTTTGCTCAAGACAGTGGTTTTGAAATCCTCCCCTGCAACAGATACTCATCGGAGCAAAACGGTGCAAAGATTGTAGCCACAAAAGAATGGTAAGAAACTGGTGTTAGCCACACATGTTTGTGTTAGATTATTACAGATGCGTGGCTTTGTTTTGTTCAAGTAACAGGGTTTGTACAGATCCTTGAAAGTCGGGAAAATGCTTGAATTTCAATAACGTGTTTTTCAAGGTCTGGAATGTGCTTGATTTTCTCAAACTTTACAGTGTTTTAATACAACATCAGGACTTTAGGTTACGAGAAATTGCATTCAGTACTTAAGTTATCACTATCCTACAACATGAATAAGTAACATCAGGCTAGCCCACCGATATGTTTAGCTGAGGTAATGTTAAGCTGAGTTTACACAGAGACAATGTGGCAGTGAAACGGTATAGTTGGATGTCGGTTACTACCAAGCGTACTACCAAGACTGTGTTCCAGGGGGGTCAAAACGTAAGTGTTCAGATCCAGCCTGCAAAATGGGACAACTCAGATACGCTGCACAGCGGGGAGCTCTTTCACACCCGCGAGAAGGAGAAAGGTGTGAAATCCCCCGTTTACTCTGACCCCCACCTCCCTGCTGCTCCCTCACGTAAATTTGGACATGCGCAGTAGCAGAGAACAAACGTAAACAATAATGGCGCCGTGCGCACTAACTAGCTCCGTGGGCTTTGAGCACAGCACAGAGGATAATTCTACACCTTCGTTCGTCCAAACGAGACCACGCGAAGCTCTAGGTTCAGTTTCCATTTTTACAGCTGCTTAATTTGGGGGTTATTTAGTGATATTAGCTTACACCAGTCTAGGGCTGCAACAACGAATCGATAATATCAATAAAAATCGATTATCAAAAGCGTTGGCAACGAATTTGGTTATCGATTCGTTGTGTCGCGCGATTAATACGACACCGAGCGCACGAGTTGGGCGCATTCTTGTAGTTCTATGGTTGAGCGGACGGACGCACATGCACCACAGAACTACACAACACTGCAGGCACACTGCCGTAAAACTCCACAGAAGAAGAGCAGAGTGTGGCGATGGTGGTCATTTTTAATACAGTCAGAACAGAGTTTCTCAGGGTCAGGGCTGTCATTGGGAGGTTCGGAGACAGGTTAGATTTGCGGAGAACAAGCCTGGAAGTCACGTCGAGGCGCCGCGCCGCAACTCTAGCCTCTGCTAGTCTCCGGTAAAATCTCTGCAAATAGTGCCTCCCACAGATGTATTATCGTGGCTTCCGCCATCACCGGGACGGTAACGTGTTGGAGAAGACTTTGTCTGGTGTTAGACAAGAGAGAGGGCAGGGGAGAGGAGAGAGAGGGCAGGGGAGAGGAGAGAGAGGGCAGGGGAGAGGAGAGAGAGGGCAGGGGAGAAGAGAGAGAGGGAGAGCGGGGGAGTTGAGAGAGAGAACAGGGACGAGAGAAAAAATTCTAAAATCGACAATTTCCAAAGCCATATGACGTCATAATTTGCTAATTAGATGGGTACACTTATTCCCTACATAAAACTTTTGGCCATCCTTAATAATTCTGTAATTTACAGAAAGTCTTTATCTCCTATCACTTTTAAGTTACAGCCTTATGAAATAAAAATTTCAAACGTTTTTGAGTATATGCATTTACAATTACCCTAAAAATTACTTAATTACACAAGCGCGTCTTGTCTGTAATTGCTCTTTGGGTTAAACAACAATACCTGTTTTTGTGCACTTTACTTTATACTGCATAGCATACATTTGCATGTTTCTTTGTGTTGATCCAAGGCCACGTTTTTTAATAACGGGATGGAAACTAAAAATGCTTTTTTAAAAATCTGATTAATCGAAGAAATAATCGACAGATTAATCGATTATTAAAATAATCGTTAGTTGCAGCTCTACACCAGTCCTTGTCAAATAGTGGGGTACCCCCTAATCTGCGTTCCGTGTTCTGACCATGCAGCAATTGAGAGCAGCGGGTCGAGCGTGCAGCCAAGTGCGCAATTTGTTTGGCTACAGCAGAATATGTTTCATGTTTGTTGTTTGTTCATACAAAACTCAAAACTATGAGTTATGGGTCTTACCTTATAAATGACCTGCACAGACCACTTCGGTTCAGACCAGTTCTGTGTTTAAGTCCAGATAATAGTTTGAGCGTAGATATGTAATCCTCCATTTGGAAATGAGTCCAATGAGTTTTAAAAAGTAAAACAAAACGCGTGTGTCCTCCATAAACACCTCTGTTTTGCTGCAGCCGGGTGCATCCAATTTCTAAAATCAACCGTCTTACACTTCACCTCTCTTTCTTATCATTCCTATAGTCATTGAAAAATTACCCTAAGTGCATTTTAAATTATCTTAAAATGTGTTACATGTATGTTAGCCAAACCTGTTGCTGTCCTTAGCAGATAAACCAGGAGGAGAAAGGAGCTTTTGGATGGAATGTATGCAGCCGACTTCTGCGCTCACATGCTCTCCTCTGAGGCTGACCTCACGGTGATACAGATTCAGATTCAGATTCAGATTCATTTATTTCGCCATTTGCAGTATGTATACACCACATTGGAATACATTTGTAAAAGTTCCCCGTGTGCACAGGACAAGTACAGACACAAAACAACATTAAAAGACAAAAATAAAACAAATTTTAAAAACAGTAAACAAATGTCACAACAAATGTCACCGTGAAGTTGACCAACTTAAAACAGATCTATACGAGTGCAAAACATTAAAGTGCTCTATTCAAACTGTTAACAGCTCGTGGAAAAAAACTGTTAGCATGACGAGATGTCCTGCATCTCAGAGAACAGTATCTTCTGCCAGAGGGAAGAAGCTGGAACAAGGCTTTTCCTGGGTGGCCAGAAGAGTCTCTGATAATTCTCAGGGCACTGTTAAAAAGTCTGGATTGATAAAGAACCTCCAGAACAGGAAGCTCGCAGCCCACGGTCCTCTCTGCAGAGCGGAGCACCTTGTTTAAAGCTCTCTTTTCTTTATCTGTGATGTTACCGAACCACACAGACACAGAACCAACAAGCAAACTCTCAATGGTGCAGCGATAAAAGTTAAGCAGAATCTTAGAGTTAGTGGTAAATTCTCTAAGTTTCCGCAGGAAGTAGAGACGCTGACGAGCTTTCTTTACGACTCGGTCAGTGTTTTTAACCCATTTCAGGTCATCAGACAGAGTTAGACCCAGAAACTTACACTCCTCTACAATCTGCACTTGGGAGTTATCGATTGCGACAGGCAAATGAGAACTATTGCGACTGAAATCAAAGACCAGTTCGCATGTTTTGGATGCGTTCAGCTGGAGGTTGTTAGCCTTACTCCACTGAACCACATTTTGGATCTCGGCTCTATAAGAGGATTCATTGTTATTACTGATGAGACCGATGATGGTGGTGTCATCAGCATATTTGATGATCAGGTTAGAGTCTGAGGAAGACACACAATCATGAGTGTACAGTGTAAAAAGTAAAGGACTCAAAATACATCCCTGAGGAGATCCAGTGCTCACAGAAACAACATCTGAAAAACAGTCATTGATTTTCACTCTCTGAGATCTGTCAGTTAAAAAGCTATAGATCCATTTACACATGGCAACACTTAAACCCAGAGACATGAGCTTTTCAATCAGTTTACCTGGGACAAGACAATTAAAAGCAGAGCTATAATCAATGAACAGCATTCTTGCAACAGATTTCCTATTGTCCAAGTGACTGTAGACAGAGTTCAGAGCAAAGGAGATGGCATCCTCCACACTCCTGTTCTGTCTGTAAGCAAACTGGAGCGGGTCAACACTCACAGGGATCTGGCTCTTAATGAAGTCCAGCACAAGCCGCTCGAAAGTCTTCATTAGGACAGAAGTGAGGGCCACAGGGCGATAGTCATTAAGGCATGTCACAGGAGTTTTCTTAGGAACTGGGATAATGGTCGACTCTTTAAAGCAGTTCGGCACAGTACAGTTCCTTAGCGACAGGTTAAAAATGTCTGTTAGCACAGGAGCAAGTTGCTCAGAGCACAGTTTCAGGACACGAGGAGGGATGCCGTCCGGGCCAGGGGCTTTCCGGACAATGGTGCTGGACAAGACACGCCTGACTTCCTCCTGAGTCACGGTGAACGCACCTTGATTGAGGCAATCAGGAAAGACAGTAGGACAGGTATCGGCAGATGCGAAGCGGCAGTAGTACGTGTTCAGCTCATTAGGCAGAGCTGGGCCAACAGATCCGATTTTCCCGGCACTAGGTTTCCAGGACGTGATGGCTTTAATACCGCTCCACATGCGCCGAGGGTCATCTTCCTTAAAATAACCCTTTAACTTGTCCCCATAACTGCGCTTTGCAGATTTAATAGAACGTTTCAATGCATAACAGGATAGCTTTTAGGCAACTGTATCGTTAGATTGAAACGCCAGAGCACGCTCATGAAGTTTTTGTTTCACTTCCGCATTCATCCAAGGGTTTTGACTGAGATGTACTTTAATGACCTTCTGTGGGACACAGCAGTCAATACAGAAGCGTATGTATCCAGACACAGCGTCACAGAATTCATTAACATCCTCTGATTGAAACACAGACCAGTCAGTGGCATCAAAACACCCTTGTAGCTTCATGCTAGCCTCCTCGGACCAACACTGCACAGTGCGTGAGGTTGGTTTATGTTCCCTGCTCCTCTGAGAGTATGAGGGAAGAAGGAGAACAGAGGAGTGATCGGACTTTCCAAATGGAGGTCTGAGACTGGACCTGTAAGCTCCCTTCACATTGCTGTAGCAGTGATCCAGAACATGTGCTCCTCTTGTAGCTCGAGTCACATGTTGGTAGAAATTTGGGAGTACAGTCTTTAAATTACATTTGTTAAAATCCCCAGCGACAATAATCACTGCGTTAGGATGAGCAGTCTCGTATTTATGAAGGATCTCGCTCAGATCCTGTAGTGCTACAGTATAGTCCGCTCGTGGGTGGATGTAAACAGCGCATAAAAATATCACAGAAAACTCCCGCGGAAGATAAAAAGGGCGACAGCTCAAGACCAGGCATTCCAGATTGGCAGTACATGTTTGGTTCACAATGCGAGTGTCCGT